TTACCTGAGACCAGTCTCTGTGGCCAAGTAACAGAGGTGACAACTGATGTCACAATTGGTGTGACAATTGATGTCACAATTGGTGTCACAAATGGTGTGACAATTGGTGTCACAATTGATGTGACAATTGGTGTCACAATTGGTGTCACAAATGGTGTGACAATTGGTGTCACAAATGGTGTGACAATCGGTGTGACAATTGGTGTCACAAATGGTGTGACAATTGGTGTGACAATTGGTGTCACAAATGGTGTGACAATTGGTGTCACAAATGGTGTGACAATTGGTGTGACAATTGGTGTCACAAATGGTGTGACAATTGGTGTGACAGTTGGTGTCACAAATGGTGTGACAATTGGTGTGACAATTGGTGTCACAAATGGTGTGACAATTGGTGTGACAATTGGTGTCACAAATGGTGTGACAATTGGTGTGACAATTGGTGTCGCACTGGATAGATAACAGTTTGTACCAGCCAGTCATCATCAGGTGCAGATACCCAGTGTTCATGATCTAGTTTTCTGCCAACCCACCAAGACTGTTGTAAGTTGGTGTGTTAATCTTTGACATTATTATATTAAGTGAACCTTTTCTTATTTTTAAACACGAACAGTTAGTGCTTTCTACACATTTAATTGTTATTTCATAGGACCGGAAGACATTTCATCACAAGATCGGATGCCTAACAACTTTTCCAGCACTGTTCCTTTTGAAGTCCTGCCTACGAACTGTAGATAAAGTCCATCACTTATAAGTATGTTGGTGTGAACTGCAGTTGCAGCCACCCAGGACACGCAGTGCCCACATTTACCCACGTCACAACAGGATCAGTGCTATGATGAGTTGTGAAGTGTTGTAGGCAGACCAGGAGTCTTTCTGTCATAGTTCCGTTGTTTATTCAGTGGTATCATCTGATTTGTCATCTTCATTAAATTTCCTTTAAGAGTCTTTACCTGTGTTGTACCTTTTGTATCATGTATTATTATTCTGGAATCAGATTTGTCACTGTCCAATCTTGTCCATTCTTTTTAGACTGGATTGTTTGTGAGTATGGTTTTGTTTTGGTCTGATCTCATTACCGTTTTTTTTTTTTTTTTACTATGATAAGTTTGCTGTCTAGTGTGGGAGCTTTTAAGTGGTGAGGAAGTCAGGCCAAATTGTGCCCAGGAATATTTGTTTTTGCAGTGGGTATCACAGTTTGAGTCGCCTCACCCCTGAAGTGATGTTAGATGGTTGTTAGAGCTACGGAGTTCCTTCTAGACCAATACGAGCCACCGTCTTAACATTAAGTCACTTCAGAGTGTCTATTATTATAAGGGGAATCCCTACTAAAGACATGCGACAGACGCGTCATATGACACCGATTCGCATGCCAGCGTTTAGGGGCCACACTACGGTGGTACCATATGTTATGTAACCAATGCCATTATTAGTGCCAGACGCCTTCTAGAACATGAATGAATGTATTGTCCTTGAAGAGTTGTAATAGAGCATGTTAATAATCCCTATATTTTGTGGGCGGCGGATAGGCTTTACGGATAGAGGATCGAAGATTTTCCGGATTCTCAAAATGGATCCTCAAACAGGCTCTTTGATCCTCAACCAGAAATCTTCGATCCTCGATCCGGAGTCGCCGTGGGTTAAAGTTTAAAAATCAAGAGGATCGGCTTCATTGCCCCAGGCTGTATCCCACATTGCTCGGCCTCACTCCACAGGACAAAGTGCGAACACCATAGCTCCGGGGAGCACCGGTAACTTAGTGGCTATACTCTTGCCTGTCTGTCAGAAAGTCTTAGGATCACATTCGTATCTCCCCGTGTAGATTCCGGGGTATCACTGTGGGGAAAACATGTTAAAAGTAGTTGCTCCAACACTGTCACCTGTTTGCTGACAACAGAGACGCAATCGGGCCTGTTCGCAACACTATACACACTGGCCGAACGTTTTAGTTGTTCGTCAATTTCTTGACTTGTTCCAGAAACTGAGTCTTTGCTTGCACGTTTATTTTACAGATCTAGCTTACTTGTATACAGACTGTTGGTTTCTCTCCTCTCAGGGAAATCAACGACTTTGAAGGAAAAATTCCTTATTAGTCGCTTTTAATTATATGCTTGTTGGAGTCTTTTATCCCCCCCCCCCTTTTTTCCCCCAATGGGACCCCAGAACTTAAATAGGGAGGGTAATGAAGTAAACGACGCATAAATATACAACAACAAGAGAACTTGATGTTAAATATCGATTGCATCGACGATTTAAATGTGTATTCAATCTCTGGTTCTTAATTTATAACGTACCCCAAACAGGAAATCCCCGTGGGAAATCCACAGCTGACCTGACAGTCCATTATTTCAAGGGGTGGAAGTGTGCTGTTGTGTGGTGCTTTTTTTGAGTGTTAATCTAGTGTGTTCTAATGCTAACCCTAACCCTAACCCTAACCCTAAACTTGGCTGTAGATAAATCGCGAAAAAGTACAACCTGAACACCCTAGAATTTATTGGGAATGTCTCCCGTGACGTTGTCGTGACGTCAGGGGTAAGTTATAAATTAAGTACCCAATCTCTGAGTCCATACACCTTGAGCAGCCCCCACCCCTCCCTTCCCCCTCCCACCCAAAACCGACACTCCTTTCCTCCCACAGAAACATTTAAAAAAAGGCTGAGCCCACACACCCACGCTAAAAAAATAAGCAAGGGGTTAACCGCCCCCCCCCCCCACACCCCTTTCCGCCATCATTCACTAACCACATATAGAATACCCTCTCTTTTTTAACCATTTATTTGAAGATTCCATATTAGTTCAAATATATTATTATACTATCTACCATAGACCAGATTATTGTTTTTGTTGTTACTGCTGCTTCTATTATTATTATTATTACCCAGTTACACAAGTCTTTAGTCCCTATGGTTCCACCAAAAAATGTAGGAAATTGCAAGGGAGTTAGGCTCACCCTTCGTCTCCCTCCTCTCACCCCCCCCCCCCCCCCCTTTAGTACCTCAATGTTTTCTTTGTGTTCGCGCCCCTATACTGAAGGGTTTCGTAAATGTTTAGCTTCCACATGGTTCTCTAAATGTAAAGGAGACCGCGAGCTTAGAAGCGTGTCGTGAATGCAGTACGAGGAATTATAAGGCGTTTCAAAAATCAAGCCCTCACAGTTAACTGTCTGGAAAGCTCATGTTGAGATAAACACGAATTTTTGCAAGTGGTCTTAGATTTCCTATGTCCTTATGATTGTATGAGTTAAAATTTCACATGTGCCGTTGTTTTCTTAAAGCGGTGAATTTCTGTTATCTTTGTTATGCCAATAATTTGTGTACCCCTAAAAAAAAATATGAAGATAAAGTAACTCACACCCGCGTTTAAGTTGTTTTGGAATCAGTTCACGTGTGCAGGGATACGTGGTGATTATTTTGATAGCCTATGCAAAATACACTGAAAACTTCGCAGCTTACGGTATCCTAATGCTTGAGATGACTACCAGAAAGTGAAACGTCTATGAGACGCGTTCAGTTTAAAGTTTTGGAAAGTTCCCGTTACTCAGTTTACATTAAGAATGCTTATTGTTTGCTACGAATCAGTATTCGTTTCTTCATATAGCGCAAATGAAGTTTGAGGTTTGAACAACGGCTCAACATCATGGCACACGGGTAGTAACCCATAAGTGCTCCCTTCTTCTTCTAACTCAAGTCTTGAGTCCAAAGAAGCTCTGCACAGTGCACAGGCTCTGTAGCACCGGTGAGGATCCTGAGATACTTTGGAAGATTTTCAACTCAAAATTGTGTGCGGGCAGCGCCGTTAGGCTACTCTTTTCGATTTCCAACTGCCAAGCGATTTTTTTATAACGTGCGCAACAATGTACACGGGCGTCCGATCTCACTACCCAGAACCCGGAACCTCTAGCACTCGAGGCGGACACCGTGACTGGAGACCGCGCAGCCCTATAGCGCAAATCAAGCGAAGATAAACTAAATAATTGTTTTTAAAAAATGTCTCGCAATTACACGATTATAAGCAGGTTGTATGCCAAATTTCAACAACTTACCCTTACTGAGTTACAGATTGTTAAAGTCGGAAAGTAATTATCCAGTTGAGTAGAACAGTGTGCGTACAGGTAAGCCAGATCTGTAAAACGAATGTGCACGCAAAACTCAATTTGTGGAACAAGATCACGGCTATAGTGTTATTGGGGATAAGCAGTACCGATACCGTATCTTTAAGCATTATTTTTTAAACTTACTGCAATAGACACTTTTTGATGAGTACCGGCACCCTTTTTTTCTCGAGGTTAGTGGGGGGAGGGCGGGGGTGGTGTGATAAAATCTTTATTTATTTGTGTTTGTGAAATATATCCGGAAATAAATGTTTATGTTTCTGACAAATTCTGCCTTGTAAAAAAAAAAAAAATTATGTCAGAAGTGGGATTTGAACCCACGCCCACATTCGTGGACCAGAATACTCATCTCCGTGATGTCGGAGAAGGTTATGAACCTTGAGTCTGGCGCCTTAGACCACTCGGCCATCCTGACAGATACCTAAATTGGTTAGTAAATGGTTATTATATTTCATTTGAGGTACTACATGATGTGTTAAAACAGATAATGTGTTTCGTAAGTTTCCATATACGCTTCAGTGTGTTGACTTCCCTAATGAGGAACACTTATAAACACAACTAGAATTATACTTGTAAGTAAATTAAAGATCTTGTTTCACGCTTTCTTGTTTTTTAGGCGGATTGCGCATATAGGATATACTTGTAATGGTGTTGATGATATCCGCCCCCCCCCCCCCCCCTTTTTTTTTTCATGCTTAGAAACACCATGCATTTAAGAGTGACCAGAATAAGTTATCATAAATTATCAGTGCTTTCGTAATATCCACGTCCGACTCTATTTATTAATAGCTAAAGTCGGAAGTGGTAATATCCTGCCCCAAGCAGGGGAAATCTACGGGTCACAGGCCAGTCTGATATTTCAGGGGGTTGTAGATAGGCTGCATGCAGTCGTGGGACCTAGACTTCGTGCAGTTGTGGGACCTGGGCTGCATTCTCTTGTGTGACATAGGTGCGATGCGTTTGTGTTAGGGTCAGTTCTACATATTTTGGGGTTTTATAAAGCATCAGAAAGCCGGGACACATAATCTTACCACCCTCGAAAATGTTGGACAGACAGACAGACGAGCGGAAGGACAGACAGACAGACAGACAGACAGACAGACAGACAGACAGACAGACAGACAGACAGACAGACAGACAGACAGACAGACAGACAGACAGACAGACAGACAGACAGACAGACAGACAGACAGACAGACAGACAGACAGACAGACAGACAGACAGACAGACAGACAGACAGACAGACAGACAGACAGACAGACAGATAGATAGATAGATAGATAGATAGATAGATAGATAGATAGATAGATAGATAGATAGATAGATAGATAGATAGATAGATAGATAGATAGATAGATAGATAGATAGATAGATAGATAGATAGATAGATAGATAGATAGATAGATAGATAGATAGATAGATAGATAGATAGATAGATAGATAGATAGATAGATAGATAGATAGATAGATAGATAGATAGATAGATAGATAGATAGATAGATAGATAGATAGATAGATAGATAGATAGATAGATAGATAGATAGATAGATAGATAGATAGATAGATAGATAGATAGATAGATAGATAGATAGATAGATAGATAGATAGATAGATAGATAGATAGATAGATAGATAGATAGATAGATAGATAGATAGATAGATAGATAGATAGATAGATAGATAGATAGATAGATAGATAGATAGATAGATAGATAGATAGATAGATAGATAGATAGATAGATAGATAGATAGATAGATAGATAGATAGATAGATAGATAGATAGATAGATAGATAGATAGATAGATAGATAGATAGATAGATAGATAGATAGATAGATAGATAGATAGATAGATAGATAGATAGATAGATAGATAGATAGATAGATAGATAGAAAAAGGATCAGTTTTAAATATGTGTAAGCAAGTAAGTAGGTCAGTCTGTGAAAGGTTGTCTGGCCAAAATGTAGACAGAAAAGCGGACATACTGAGCTTGTCAGATTTATAACATCGAGTCACCGCTGACAGCTAAACACCGAGAGAAAACCAGATCAATACAAATATGGCAACGGAACCTGCTTTTACCCCCTTCTGTTTGAAGTAGCTTTTATATTACAGAGAAAAACGCCGATTTACAGTTTGCACAATAATGGAATTAAATGGATTAAGAAATACTTACATTCAGCTGGACTGCATGCTCAGCCGAGAATTAAAATTTGATTACTGTAAACAAACAAATGTGTACGACCACTGGAAACCTCTACATTCATCTGCCATAATTATCATTTGGTAGAAAGCACCGCAGCTTCACTGGCAAAGCTGGGAGAAGAAATCAATACCCGGCATATTGATTGACCAGCCTCAGCCAGGCTTAAGCTTTATCCTACATATTGTTGCCAAGGTCCCGTATCGTAGTTCTGTCGTTTTAAAGCGACATATTGTTTCCATTCTCTGTACCAGTAGATACCATATAGTTACAGAATAAATGTTTTTCTATGGGGAATTTCCCGTGCCTTTCATTGCATGTTTAACATTGTCATCTGTCTGTGACAGTGGACAATTTGCAGGGTGACAGTTTTGTGTTTGCGTGGGACGATCAAACGGTTTATAATTAGCACTATGCTCTAAATATGGAAGGAGCGAACATATACACACACACACACATACACACACAAAAGCATTATTCGCTACAGTACTTTTACCAGGATTGTGCTACTAGTGCCAAACGTGGATATAAGCGCCTAAAAAAAAAATCGAGAAAAAAGAGGTAAAATGTGTTGAGTTGAGTTGAGTCAAGAATTGACATCACAGCACTCGGGGCATTCCCATGAGTGCTCCGTCCTCATCTTCAGCAGCCAGCGCAGACTTCGACTACAAATGGTACCTGTCGTAATCTGGTCATACGAGAAGCAGCAACGAAATTCGCTATATGTTTAAATCATCATTTATCCCTGGCGTCATGAGAGCTAATAGACTGAAATAAAATGGCTGGGGTATATTGAGAGAAAGTCAAAGGACATAGGGGTAAAGACTGTATACACAAGGGAGCTAAATGGTCGTAGACCACGAGAGAGATTAAATAGACGATTGAGAGATAATATCCCGACAGACCTACCAGATCTTGGTATCACCAACTGGAAAGAGAAAGGCAATAAGAGAGATAAATGGAGGAGGGCGATATCTGCAGCAATGAACTTCAAGGGCTGGGAATGCTGAAGAAGAAGAAGAAGAAGAAGAAGAAGAAGAAGAAGAAGAAGAAGAAGAAGAAGAAGAAGAAGTCATCATTATGTAGCAGGTCCTTTGCCGAACATCGCGATTTGCCTGAAAGAAGCTCTGTCTCTCGCCAGCTCTCCCGCCTCAAGTACTTTCATATTCAAGGAGTAACTTATATCCTGTGCCCATCTTCGTGTTGGTCAGATCCTGCTTCTCCTTACTGGTACCATGCATTATGCTGTGTCCCCCCCCCCCCCCAATCCGCCATGGCGTTTGATATGACCAAAATATTTCAGCTGCCGAGACAAGATGTTGTTTATCAGCCAATCTTCATTGATGTTTAGATCTTTTAAAATGTCAGTATTTCTTCTCTTCTTTGTCCATGATATTCTGAAAATCTTTTTTTTTAGCTCAAAAGTCCCTATTTTCTTTCTTAAGGACTGGGAGATAGTCCACGACTCACATCCTTATGTTGCTACAGGGAAAATGCATGCTCTCAAAATTTATAATTTGCATTTCCTTGCTGGCCAACCCACGATCTTCTCTATTTATTAGAGACGGTGCTGGCGCAACCCATGATCTTCTCTATTTATTTGAGACGGTGCTGGCGCAACCACATAATTTTAATGGCAATGCTGTCTAAGAGGAAGAAGTCGGCGTCTGTGGTTTAGGCGTCGCGAACGCGCTTTGTAATGCCGGCGTGCCTGGTTCGATCCCAGTTGCGGGCCTTGCGCCTTGCGTTGGTTTCGACAGTAATATCAAGAAGCTGACCGTCCATAAAGCAGCTGCAAACTACTGGACGTAAATATGCCTAGAAAAACCACAACTGCTAAAAAAAAAAAAATGCTGGGGTTAGTTATGCAAAGTCCTGTAAAGGATACACAACTAACTCGAAAACAAAATACAGTAGGAAAAAGATCCATATTTTATACAAACCTAAAGGGACACAACTCTGATACGGATTCCTGATTGAGATTTCAAAAAGCAACATCATGGCTGACAACCCAACCAAACCAGACCTGGGACTTCTCGAAGAAGATGACGAATTCGAAGAGTTTCCTGCCGAAGGTTGTACTAGTCAGTCTGTAAATCTTTAGATTTGTTGTTTGTTTAAGAAGTAATCAGCAGGCACGGTTGTACTGGGCCTGGTATGCTTTCTACATTTTTACAGTGATAATGAATTGAATGATGAAGCAGACTTGAACTTGAGTGATTCAGTAAAGTAAATCAGGTTCAACTACTGCGTCTTCAACTCTTATCATTTGTTTTCATTAAAATGTTAACTGTTTGCGTCTTCCTCTGCCTTACAGTTACACAAATATCTCAACACATTTCTTTCTAGAATGCTGTCTTGATAATTGAACCCAAATGTGAGTTCTGTTGTCACATACTCAATGATACTGTCACTGATACGATACTCATACATACAACTACCATACCTCAAATCTTTAAAAACAAACAATGTATATTAAAACTTTTAAATATTGAGTTTGGGTTGTTATTATGATAGAAATGTAACTGTTAATATTTACATAATCTCACTAAGTGATTGGGTCATTAATTAAATTATTAATAGTACATTTTAAAATTTTTATTTGGACTGAATATTTTGATAATCTTAACAAACATGTCATAGAAATGGTGTATTTATTTTACCCTTAGTATAACAGTTGATTATCCTCGTTAATTTTATCTTTAGGAGAAAATTTGGCTATCCTTCGAATAACGGTCCCAAATTATTGAGGCCTAAAATATACCCTAACTAGGCCTCAGTCACATGTAAATTACGGACTTCCAGCGACTTAAATTGCAGACTTCTGGCGACTTAAATTGCGGACTTCCTGCGATTATACCATCACCACCGTCGCGTGTAGTTGTACAGGAGATACTCTCGGCGATGGCGGTATAGTCCCCGGAAGTCCGCAATTTACATGTGACTGAGGCCCTGTTATAGTATATTTTCGGCTTCGATAATTTGGGATCGTTATTCGGAGGATAGCTGAAACTTCTTCAAAGATCGCATGGTCATGGGCATTCCTTATTCATCTATATATATTTGAACAAAGAAGACACCAACAATAGATTGCACATTTTATTGTCAGGCATACTTCGCTGTACCCCCTCAGGTGCATACTACGTTTACAATTAAATAGAATTAAGCAAAAAAGTTAATCCTTTGTCACCCCGGTGCAGATGCAAAGGTGTCATGGATTATGTCTCATTGAGCTTCCCAGGCTTAACTCCCCCCTTCCCCACCCCCCACACCACCATGACATTTATTGTTCTAACTAGTTGTAAATACAGGATGTCATGACAGTGTCTGCTTGATGTTATCTGGTCACCTTTCTTTTCCTGAGATACTGTGTCTGCTCGATGTTATCTGGTCACCTTTCTTTTCCTGAGATACTGTGTCTGCTCAGTGTTATCTGGTCACCTTTCTTTTCCTGAGATACTGTGTCTGCTCAATGTTATCTGGTCACCTTTCTTTTCCTGAGATACTGTCTGCTCAATGCTATCTGGTCACCTTTCTTTTCCTGAGATACTGTGTCTGCTCAATGTTATCTGGTCACCTTTCTTTTCCTGAGATACTGTGTCTGCTCAATGCTATCTGGTCACCTTTCTTTTCCTGAGATACTGTGTCTGCTCAATGCTATCTGGTCACCTTTCTTTTCCTGAGATGCAGTGTCTGCTCAATGTTATCTGGTCACCTTTCTTTTCCTGAGATACTGTGTCTGCTCAATGCTATCTGGTCACCTTTCTTTTCCTGAGATGGCGTGTCTGCTCAATGTTATCTGGTCACTTTTCTTTTCCTGAGATGCTGTGTCTCTTGGTATTCTTATATAATGAAGTGCACTGCAGACTGGTTGGTGTTTTTTATGACTACATGTCCAAACCATTTTATTGTTCAGTGTTTGATACAGTAATTGGCTGTTCGCTCCCCACCCCTCCTCTGGCCACAGTTTCTCCAGGAATTTAGTTTTTTATTATATCTCCGCTTGTCTTGCCAAGTGGAGTACTTCTTCTTCACGTTCACCGGTTGTAAACTCAGGTGGAAAGTTCTGGTTGTTTGTCCATCACTGGACTTTAGTCTAGTTCCAAAACCTGAGTGTTGCATGTACATCCGTTTAACAGATCTGAATTAATTGTATGCTCGTGTTTGTTCGACCTGGGTTTAAAGATCCTGACATACTGTCTGTGCAAACTTTGTCACTCCTTGTAACTTGGACCACCTTTCAGAGATATATCATTTCTGAAACCTAAAGCTGGCTTTTGTAAGCTGTTGTCATTGCCCATGACTCACACCCATAGGTCAGGACCTGCACATAGAAAGAGCAGTAAACAGCTAGTTTTGTCCTCTTGCCAGTTTCTCTTTTCCTGAGAAACCATCAGTTTACGGCCTGGAAAAGTCTCCCAGCAGCTGGTATTTGAACTGGTTGACTTGCTGCAATGCGTACTGTCCCATCGTGATCTAGTGACCTATGTTATAAATTTATAATAAATGTTTTGTTACATATTGTTGCAGACTGGACAGGTGAAGACGAGGCACCTGAAGACATTAATGTGTGGGAGGATAACTGGGACGATGATAACATAGATGATGACTTCTCTAAACAGCTTCGGTGTGTACATTTGATTGATGTGTGTGTCTGAGAGTCAGGGTAGTGTGCTTGTATGAGGGATTTCAAGAAAAGGAGAATTAACCTAGGTGACATTTTTCAACATCTTTGATGTGTGACATTTAATTATTTATGTGTCTGAGAGAGAGAGAGGAAAATCAACCCCATAAATTGTTCTCACCCTGACATGCCCCAGTGGCTAGGTGCGTTTTTTGGCATTGGCTTTGACTGCATTGAGGTAGATTTTGATAATTGACCTAGGAGTTCTTATATTCTAGGCAATCTTTCTTTTTTTCCAAGACAAGAAATAGAATTCTCAAGATGAGATGGCGAAAATTAGAATATACTGTGACCATGGGAAAGTAGAAGTAGAGAGAAGACACTGGTTAGACATCGTCTATATCAGAATTTGTTTAAAGTACATGGGGCAGAAAGTTGTGGATAAACATGAATACTAACACCACAAGGCGTGGACTGTAAGAAGGACTCTTAGGCTGACTCAGCTCAAAGTCAGTCAGTAGCATGTCCTTTGCAGAACCTTGCGGCCGTCCTCTTGCTCTTGTAGCTGATCTTCTGAGATTTAGTGCTTGTGCTGGTATTTGATCTTGCTGCATTCTAACGAGATGGCCAAACCACTTGATCTGCTGTTTCTCGATGAATCTAGTACAAGGTGTTGTTCCCACAATTTGCCTGATAGTTTCATTATTCACTCGATCTCGTATGGTTAGGTTGGCTGCTTTTCTCAGGCACCTCATCTCGCAGGTGGTAATTTTGCGTATATGGGCTTTAGATAGTGTCCATGTTTGGCACTGGTAGCTTAATGTTGGAATGAATATGCTATTAACAATCTGTCTCTTTGCGTTTACCCATGCTATTTTGAGAATCCGTCTAAAACATTTGTATTCAAAGGCATTTATGTGGTGTTCAGCTTGTTTAGTAAGTGTCCAGTTCTCACAGGCGTATGTTGCAATGGAAAAGATGCATGCTCTTAGAAATCTAATTTTTTTGTAGTTCTGTTAATTTATTAAGTTATTTTAGTCTTTGCAGAGCAGTTGATAAACAGGGTGTCAGGATATGTCTTAGGAGTCATGATTGCCAATGTGATATTTACATCATACATCACATGTTGGTTGGTCTGCAAAAACGTGTAATTTTAGACCATATGCTCAGTGAGACACTGTTTTATTTTTTATTTTACTATAGTGTCCTCAGTGATCTTTAAAGTTGAGGTTTTCTATCAAGAATCAACATTTGTTATTACACACAAGAGTAGTGCGAAACCTGGGAGTCGTGACCTGGGATGCTCTCTCCCCCCCCCCCCCCACCGAGAGTGTAAGTAAGGTAAATAGGCCCAAAATATTCAGATAAGTGGGACTTCTTCTGACAGTCAGAAGGCAACTGTTGTGCTCGCTCCTCCGTGAAGTTTCTGCTACATATATTGTTATGTTTCTGTTTGCTATCAGCAGTTTTAATTTAATGATAAATTATGCTTTTTATTTCTAGAGCCGAGCTGGAGAAACAGGGCAAGAATCTTGATGCTTCCGAGCCAATGAAAACATGATGTGTGAGATTGCCCGTTGAGCATTTGTATCATTTTCATTATTGACTTCATTAAATTGTCTTAAACGTTAATGATCTTTGTGTTGTTTTGTTCTTCTTTGAAATCTCTCCTGCTCTGTTTTAGCCAAAGTTCACAGAAGTTGCTGTGTAATAATTGCATAAAGTAAAAGTTAAGGACCTTTTTTTCCATGCCCTTAGATGTACTTAGTTTGTAGAACTGAACCTGTATTTGTATAGACCATTCAGCACTCGGTGGTTGGTGTGGTCAACATAATGTCAGCTGCCTTTACTTCCCAGGGATAGTACTTGTTTTAGGGTGGGTTGACATAGAACCCAAGTATTTTTTTCAAATAAACCGGTTCAGTGGAGACTTAACCTTCAGGCCCGAGGTGAGCATCTAGCCACTACATTTCGGCTGCTTTCAGTATTTGTACAACCTTATTGTTAAATGTACATAAAGGACCTTTTTATTAGGCTAGTGTATTTACATTATTGCTCTGGGTTTTATCTCCTGTAGCTCAGTCTCCTCCTGCAGAACTGCTGGTCAATCGCAGCAAGCATTTCACAAAGCATGAAACTAACTCGGCTACCAACCCTGGGGGATCTCAAAAACATCAATATGTGTGAACCGAATTATGGGGTGCTTGGGGTCGTTGGACAATTACAATAGTGACAAAAACACTTTTGTGTCACGTTCGCAAATACAGCAAAACCTTATTAAGACGGACTCATTTAAAAGGAACATTTGATTGACAATGAACAAAATGTCTTTTCCAGCTTGGGTCTATTATCATTATTAGTTTTGCCAGATGATTTAAGTCAGGTCTGTTCAACTGGTGACCTGCAGGCTAAATCACCTGCCAAATAAATTGTATTAATGATCTTTCAAGGCTTGGGCCTCTGGCCTGCAACGATTCCCATTTTCCAACATTTTAGACCCTGAGTGAACTTGGTTAAATAGTCCTGTTCGGATCTAGATATTCATATTTCTCTGGGTGTCCCAGTTTTTGGTGTTTTGAAATATTTCTTTAGTTACGATATTCCTCTATTGGTAAAGAATGGAACTGCCTTTTTCTCTCCGCCTCCTTCACCCTTATTTTTCTGCATAATGCAATATGAACCCATAAGCAAGCAATTTTGTATCCTATTACTTTTCAATTTCTCGCCATCTAGCAACAGACTAAAACAAATCCCTGACATCAACATGTTGCTCTGTGCCATCAATATAAACACATTGGAGTTTACAGGCTGTAAACTCCGGTGGAGAGTATTGGTTGTGCATTTTAGTGCCCATTTTGTAATTCTTTGCTCATTACATCTCAGTGTACCCAGTTTTTTTTTTTTTTTTTAAATATCCAGAAACCATGAGTTGTTAACCCTTTGGCTCGGTACTATGGATATCGCAACCCTTCGGCCTTGAGATCACAAGGAGTTTAACCAGCTGCACTAGCGAGCATCTCATTCAATGTTCATAATTTTTCTCAGGCATTTTTTTTTTAGATGCATTTAACTTATGTTTCATATCTTTTGTGGTTCAGCTTTCGCTGGCATATGTCAGATTTGAAATAGCACTACAATTGAAGATTCATAGTCTTGTCTTTAAGCTGTATAACTTAGAGCTCTATATTTTGTTAAGGCTTTTTTTGTTGGTTTGCCAGGTGCATATAATAACTTCCTTCGTTTTGTCCAGACAGTCAAAATTTCTACCTAAATGGGTGAAATGGTCTGTTACTTTTATTATACTATGACATTCAGCATCTGCTAAAGTCAAAGTATCTATCTCCAGGATCAGAATATATAAAATGTTGATAAGACAAGTCGTTTTATATGGCTCTGAAACTTGGAGCCCAGCTAAAAAAAAGATGAAGGCTTATTACAGGTTTTCAAAAACAGCCTTACGACGAAACTCAAGACCTATCAAAGATGTAAGCAGCGGGGAATGGAGAGCCAGAAGCAACACAATTCATAATCTGTTTAAATCACCATTGATCACTGGCATAACGAGAGCTAATAGAATGAAATGGCTGCGACATATTGAGGAAATATCAGAAGACAGAGAGGTAAAAACTGTATACACTATTGAGATGAATGGTCGTAAACCACGAGGCAGACCAAGAAGACGATGAAGAAATAATGTCCAGACAGACCTGCAAACTCTTGGTGTCACCAACTGGAAAGAGAGGGCCAACCAGAGAGATGAATGGAGGCAGCTGATATCTGCAGCAATGAACCTTAATGGCTCAAGATGCTGTAGAAGAAAAAGAGCTGTGGCTAACAGGCATATCAAAAGAGGTGGGGGGAGGGGGGAACAATAGACAAATCAATGTTTCGACCTGAGTCCGTCATCGACATGAACTACATAAGGGAGCTGTGACTAACCTCACCTGCCTGAAGTTTGAGATCAGAGTGTTCCTACTGCTTGAGCCTCATCTAACCGAAACATCTGGTTATAGTATAGTGCCGGTGACCCGTTTCTGTCCCATCTCCGCCACGAGGTCAGGAGTTTACTTTTAGCTGTCAGACTGTAAATAGACATGTGTATTGAGGGTATTTCATTGAAGCTAACTTAACCTCAGCTCCACCTTTGGCTTAACATCATTTTGATAATACTTTTATTATTACGCCTATAAATAAGGCTTGTGGACTCGTGTCGCCAGAGTAGCTAGATTTAATGGCTGTCACATCCATGTTATGAACACCTTAATGATCCTGAGAATTAAGTTCAATGGTACTGGTTTCCAGGCACCGTACTGCACATTCAACAGATATTGTCTGAACCTGTCGGACTGTTGTAGACCCGTTTCGCCGATGGATTTCATGCCACATCTCTCGCAGTTGATAGCGTAAATTACATTGTAGAAGACAATGTCTAGTTTGAGAATGGAGGTGGAGGCAGTCACTGCTGGCTTCAGAATCAGCTGTACACATATGCCGTGATTGTAACTGACTCACAGAGCATGTTTAAAAAGGTGGAGACAGACCTGCTCCGTGCAGAGTGGCAAGCACCACTTTAGAGCTCTCAGTTAGTTAGCGTCCTTTAGATGTTTACTCTAGGTCATGCTGGTGTGTTGGGAAATGAGCAAGAAGATAGACTGGCCAGCTCTGCACCACTTGGTGGTGACTTGTATGACAAGCTAGATATTGTGAGAGTTAGCTGTCCCACCATCTAACTCGCCTCCTCTCAACGACCACCTGTTTTGGTCGGTGAGTGAGCAGTGCGGAGGCACATATAGAACATTAGGGTCTGAGGAGAATGGTGCTGCGGGGAGTTACCAGGGGATCTGGCAGATGCTCAACACTCGGGGGAAGAGCGAGACGCATTTACAATCAGACAGTTACTGGTGCCATAGGAATTGCAACATTTCATTTGCTGCTGAAGTTGGGGACGGAGAGCTTATGGTAGTGTCCCGAGTGCTGTGATGTCGATTCTTAATTTAACATTCAACATATGTGGAAATTAGCATTCAGGAATTCCAGACTTTCCCCTTGAACCACACATGAACAAGTCCTGCATACATGTCTGTGGCAGGAGATCGTGTCCAAATGGGACTCCGACGTAGGACGTAATCGATTGTTGACCAGAACGTCCTTGAGGTTTCGGTCATGCCTGTAGGCCACTAGAGGAAGTTTAGAGAAAAGTGTGCTATGTGGCGTCAACCCTAAGGATGGAGAGATGCCTGAGGAGGATGTGTGTGGCTTGGATATTGTGAGGGTGGTAGTTAAGTGATAGGATATTTCTATTGTGGTGACGTTTAGGCTTGAAAACGAGGGCCTCAGCACAACTGATAGGCCGTGATCGCTGAAAGGCAGACATTAAGACGTGTTCAGGGTAACCTCAAAGCCAGAAGAAGTTAATTATTTCACGGGTCTTACAGTGGAAGTCGTCGTTCTTTTGACATTGTCTGCAGAGGCGTAGAAGCTGGGAGAAGGGAATGGGAGGACGAGTTGAGAAGAAAAGTATGGGAATCAGTAGGCCTATAGTACACCGAGGTGCTGAGACCTTTAGAAACTAAGGTGACAGTGAGATCAAGAAAATGCACCGACGAAGGTGAAATGCTGGAAGTAAATCGGATGCTGGTACGGAAGTCGGAGAAAAGGCCAATGAAGTCCTGCAGTTTAAAAAGAGGTATATCGGAAACACCGATACAGTCATCGATATATCTCCCGTAGAGCTCGGGGAGCCTACCGGTGTATGCATGGCGTATTTGATGTTCGAGGTGGCCCATGTTGATGCAGGCATAGCTAGGTCCTATCTTGGTGCCCATAGCGACGCCACTGGTTGAAAAGGTGACCATTGAACTCGAAAGAGCTGAGAGTGAGAACTAATTCGGCCAGACGTATCAAAGGGTCAGTGGCCATAACAGATCTGACTCAGCGGTCTAGGAATAGCCTGGAGACCATCAGAATGTGGGATAGAAGTGTAGAAAGAGGCAACATCTAAGGTCAAATATGATACCTGAAGGAAGAGGTAAGCCAGATCGATTGAAAGAGATATCATGGATGGTGTCCTTGATGTAAGACGGGAGACAACGACCAGAGGCTGCAATATACGGTAAAGGACCTCAGATACAAGTTCTGTGCGACAGTCTCATGCGAACACTACTGTCACCCCACCCTCATCGGAGCCGTTTTCACAATGACAATCGTTTTTTAAGTATGCCCGACGGTACAACAACAAAAACGCAAAAGGTCTCGTTTTATAAAAATTCAGGATTAAGCTCAAGTATAAAGTATATACGAACCGATACGAAGATGGGCCCTGGCTACAAGGGACTTCTTGAGTATGAAAGTACATGAGGTGGGAGAGCTGGCGAGTGACTGAGTTTCTTTCAGGCAGACTGTGATGAGAGCAACGTCCTGCAAAGAACCTGCTACATGATGGTGATGATAGAGTATACACTAGAACAAATAATTTCAACGCTTCAGATGGATTGGCAGGAAGCTTCAATACAGCATGTTGACTTTTTTTTTTTTTTTTTACCTCAATGCAGTTAAAGAGCA